ATTTTGACGGAGATGAATTGCGCTTCCCGGAATTTGCCAGAAAATCTTGTACAGTATTTCTACCGTACTTACGAGAATATCAGACGCTTTTTAGATTAAAATGCACGGCTAATAGATGCCAGATCATGTGCGAGTTTTTCCAGAAATGTGGTACCGTTGCCTAATGAAAATCTCACTGATCGATTTATAATCGATTTCTTCATGGAGGTTAGGAGGAATTTTTTTTCTCCCCGTAAATTTTTGAGGGTTCTCTTGTTATTGATTGAAAATTACATTTCGCTAGAAACAAAATTGAACATTCATTTTATTTGAGGATGTGTTCGTTAATCATCGTTGATATTTTTACCCACCGTTTGTAGCGTACGGTTCTAGGAGGGAAACTGAATTTAACATTCTCTTGTAAATTTTATTATCGATCCAAGAGATTACAAATTCGAATTTATTCCAAAATCTACAGCGTCTCATATTCGTGTAAATATGGTACTTGTGATTTCTGAAGGTACGTAATTTGCTGTGTTGTGTGTTGAGAAAGTGTGCGAGTGCATAGAATGAATCCGAATTTTTTTTTCAGGCAACTATGGACTTCGAGCAGAAGTTTTCGCTGTGTCTCATTTGCCGGTCGCCGGCCATGGACGGGAATTCTGTGTTCCAAGTGAAACTGCAAAGCTGTGAGAATGTGTCGCAGTTTTTGTGTAAAAACGAAATTTTTCGCCGGGAAACCATCGAAACGTCGGCGTCGGGCATGTGCGATCGGTGCTTGGCCTTGGTGTTGACTGGTGACCGGTTGATGCTCTGCGTTCAGCGGAATCTCAAGCAGTTCAAGGATTTGATCATGGGCAATGTTGAGCATAAACCTCCTGAAGTGAAGGTTAGTGCATCAACATTTGTCTTCCCAATTTCTGGATCAATCACACGATGTTTGCATGGGACTTATTGTATTTTCCAGTGTGAAAACCTCTGTGATTTTTGATAATTTTATTAAATGGTTTCTGATGGTTTCTGACTAAAGTACACTGTTTGCATTTCAAATGGAAGCGATTTGTTTTTGATGCTGTGTGAATGTTTCAGATTCAATGATCATCCCCCGGATCAGAATGTTCTTATGCATTCATGACTTCTCTATTCTTGACTCACTTCGTGATGTGCAGTTGAAGAGTCAGTACTCTTTTATGCTGAAAATTGTCTGTGAAACTCTTCGTAGTTGTGCATGAAAATTGAGATACAGTAATTTTGCAAAGATGGCTAAAAAAAAGATACTTTCAAATTAGGGAATAATCGAGTTCATTTTAATCGATTTTTAGGAGAACCAGTGCCAAATAACAGAAGGAATATGAAAACAGTTTTAAAATGCGAGGAATTTGCCGAGTTGAATACAGTAAAGAAATGCATTTGTGACTACCGGTGACATCTGCGAATAGCTTGTCTAAACAATGGGGGAAAATTACTGTATTACACTCTGTATGAATTACTGGAGATCATTTTATTGACGATGGGAATAAAAATCAAAATGATACACATTCAGGTAAGCACGTTAAACGGTTGGAGTCCCTTACGAATGCGATTTGACTGCTAGTGACATCTACAAGCCCTCACTTCGATGACGATATTTCGAGCGGATAATAGATGTCTCACTGCTTCGTTAGAGTATCGACGTGGAGAATTGAATGTTCTTGTGGCGACAATTTGTGAAGACATCTTGAATTGCATTCAAGATTTCTACAAAGATTTACTTCTTCTGGTGTTCAGGTGAAAGTTTCGGAAGAGTATGTCGTGCCGACGAAGGTGCGGCGTTTGGACGACGACCTGTCGCTCGAAAACGATTTCCCACCTGCCGTCGATGACTTCTGCGGCGACGATGACGACGACGACGACGATTACAAGCCGAACAAACCCGCAACTGCTCGAAATTCCACAAGTAAAATGCCTTCCAAATTGCTCAATCGAAAGCCTTCGGAGTCCAACCAGAAACAGCCTGTTCGGAAGAAACCGGATTGGCAAGAATGGTCGCGTGCCGACCCGACTTGCGGGGAAGGCAAGCGGTACACTGTGGAGAACAAGANCAAGAATGGTCGCGTGCCGACCCGACTTGCGGGGAAGGCAAGCGGTACACTGTGGAGAACAAGAAACAAACGACTGTGTACACGGTGGACGGATTCCCGTTTCAGTATCCGAGGATCGGCAAAGATGATCACGACTTGTTGCACGTTCGGTGTTTGTTTCGACGAGTGACTGGGGTGGAGTGTCCCGTCGGCGGAGTGATCAACTTGAGGGAGAAGTTGTTTTATTATCATCAGATTTACTCGGCTGTGAATCATTGTCACGTGGAGAAGGAGGTGCCTGCGAATGCTGTGTTCATGACCTCTGCAGTGAGTTATTTACAGTATTTATTTTCTTTTTTGGTCATCAGTGAGGCCCCCGACACTCGGACGCCCCGAAAGGCGTGTGATTTGACTTGGGGAAACTCGAAAGAAATTCGCCCCAACATCCGGAGAACGTCTCTTATACGGATACTTGACCACTAATTTTAAACAAATTATAAAATGTCATTTTTCAACATTTTGACGTTCCTCGAACAAATCGAGCTTTTTATATTCACGAATATCGTTCATAATCCAAAACATAAAAACAGGCTGATTTTTAAATTCTGTCATGGTTATTTCCGTCATCTTTGAATAGTATAGGAAAACTTCTGCTTGTGCATTAAACATGAAATATTTTCTATGATATTTCAGGCATTTGAAGCCTTTTTACTGATATTGGAGACCATTTTCAGGACACTGCATAATAGAAGTGAAATTTTTCTTTTTGAAATGGAAGTTTTCCACCCATTTTACAGTATGCAGAAAATGTGTCATGAAAGTTTCAAAATTAGCATTTTGTTTCTCTTGAGTATAGCAAGTTTCTCGAATCTCGGGACATTTTTGGGCTATCAGTTCTCTTGTACTGCTGGTGGACTCTCTCTGGAACGAAATTTAAGGGGCCAAAAAAATCGTTTTGTAGAGAATCCCTATGGGTGGAAAACCCTGTGTGACCGAACAAAAATTCTTTATGCAGAAAAAA